GCAAAGAAAATTCACTATTTTTCCTGATGACTATGAAGACTCATTAAACATAAATTTTTTTAAATCTTTAAAATTATACACATCGTTACTTTCATTTCTGGCAACATGGTAGACACTTCATATCTGGGGTGGGGGGAGGCCCTATAAGGAGTGCTTATTAATGCTGGATAAAGCAAAGCAAACGGCAAACATCTGAACTTATAAAAAAAGTAATGGTAAACCCTCAGGATTCAGTGAGCAAAAATGGAGCCGAAAGTGAGTGATAAGTTTAAGTTGAGGATACAACACCTGCAGGGTGTTTGCCAGTGTTGGTGATCTCAAGACTTGACTTTTCATGGTGTCAGGGAAAACATGACCCACTATATATTCAGATTATAGGGCAAGATGGAATCCCACACCACTGAAATGCTTGGACTCTAGAAAGGCTATGCTCAAAATAAAATTGGGAACTAGACATAATCTACCTTTGGTAAAGGCTGGTGCTTGAGACATTTAACTGTTTTGGAGTAATTGCTGGCTAGGGAAAGTTTTCTTCTTAGAGTTTATAACCTCAATCCTTCCCTAAAATGTGGTGTTCAGACTTACAATATCTGCCTCAGCAGAAAACCCTAAGGCAATAAATCAACTTAAAACAGTCTTTGATTGATAGCATCCCAGAGTGCCTGGCAGAAGCAAACACAAATTCTGTCTGGAGGGACTTACCCTCAACCTAGGGGTCACAGGATTTTAACAGATAAAGACCACCAAACGCGTGCTCATGGTTTCAAATGCCAGAGACGCCCAAGGAAACAAAAGCCACAAGCAGGAGACAGGAGAAACCACAGAAAGCAGAACCAGACTTCCAAAAATCTTAAGATAATGCTTTATTAGATAAAATAAATTACCTAAATGCCTAGAATATTTTAAATAGGCATAAATAAAAAGAGTTGCTTATGAGAAAAAATAAAATTGTATCAAAAAATAAATGGAATTGGGAAATAAGCGCATAAAACTTCTAGAAGTTAAAAATATGATAACAGAACTGAAAAGCCCTAGGGTCCTATTAAACAGCAAGCTGAAAAAAGAATTGATCAACTGATTTTTAAAATCAATTGATTTTGAGAAATTAGAGTACAACACGAAGAGATGGAAGTGGTAAAGAGAGATTAAGAAATACAAAGAGTAAAACGAGTCTATTATATATCTCATTGGATTTGTAGACTTTTCTTCAACAACAAATGAGAAAAGTAGTCATTTTTACTCAAAAACAATTTGCCACCAGCAGATCCTTGGAAAATCAGATACATAAAAAAGCTTGAAAACTTAAGAAATTGTTAACATGTGTAAGGCTAAATCACATTGATTATATAAAAGAATAATGATTCCATATTAGGCATTGCAATGGACTGAATATTTGTATTCTCCCCAAATTCTTATGTTGAAATCCTAACCATCAGTGTGATGGTATTGGAGGTGGGAACTTTGGAAGCTGATATGGCCATGAGTGTATAGATGTCATGAGTGAGATTAGTGCCCTTATAAGGAGCTGAAGAGGCCAGAGTATTTTCCTTCCACCATGTAAGGACAGGGAATTTGCAGCCCAGAAAGGGCCCTCACATGAACCTGACTACGCTGATATCCTGATCTTAAACTTCCAGCCTCCAGAATGGTGAGAAATAAATGTCTGTTGTTTATAGCCACCCAGTCTATGGTGTTTTGTTATGGCAGCTCAAACTAAGACCAGCATTAAAAATCAAGATATAAATAAAATACTGCTATGCACTAATATATAAGAGGATCAGTCTACAGTACATGTATTATTCAGTAAGACAGAAAACATATGGGTAAACTTTAGTTTTAAACATACAAAATGAAATATTTTAAGGATAACCATTAAAAGGGTAGAAGTAGAAATAATAACTTTTAAAGTAATACCAGGGGAAAGGATCGATCTAAAACATGTAAGAAAATATATTGGGAAAACTTGAAAAACAAATAGGATAATAGTAGTACATAAAATAAATATTGGAAATACATTTAAGTATGTCAGTAATCACAAATTTGTAAAGAGGCAAAACTTACCATTTTAGAAAAAAAAGTAATCTTTGGATCACAAAAAGTTTGGGTTAAAAAGATCTAGTCATATACTGTTTATAAAAGTCACTCCCCATACATAAGGATATAGACTGTTTGAAAGCAAAAAGATGGATATAGCAGACCAATACTAATTTTAAAAAGCTTTTATAGCTTCAAGATAAAAAAGAATTATTACAGATAGAGATGGTCCTGTCAAGATGATGAAAGGTTCTGTTTTCCAATGACATAGTTTTAAATTTATATATATTTACATACCTAATGAAAGTCTTAAAACATCTAAAATAAAGTGATTGAATCACAAGAATACACTGATTATTGGAATATAAAATGGTTTATTCACTTGGTGTATTAACTTTGGAGAGCTGTTTGTTCATTTGTAGAAAAGTTGAAGATGCAGTCCCACTTCTAGGCACACATCCCTTAGAGAGCTGCTTTCACATACATTCAAGTGTACAAGATTTTTCAGAGCAACATTATTTATAAGAGTGAACAACTAGGGATAACTTAGCTATCCATCATTGGAGAATGTATATAAATAAACTGTGGTATACAGCTATTGAATGTAATATGGCACAACATTGAAACTTAGTAAATATGAGCTACATGTGTTCACAAAAATGAAAGTGAGGACTAAAAGCCTGTGAAGTTAATGTTGAACAGTGATAAAGTACATCCCAACAGAACACAGAAAAACTGGATACACTATGATGCTATTTACATACTTTAAAATGGCTAAGTTATACTCTATCCTAAGTTTCTATCCATACATATGTAGTAACAATATAGAGAAAGGCAAGGGAATGGTACCTAACATATCTGAGAGAGCCATCATCCCTGAGGAGATGGGAGAATGCTGCAGGTGGTGGGGAAGAAGGCAATCGAGAGCTGCATCTGTATTGAGAAGATTGGATTTCTTAGGTTAGTTGGTGGGCACATGTATGTCTGTCTGGTTGTTTACATACTGTTTTTCTGAAATCTGCAAAAAAAGTTACATATTTTTTGATACTTGGGAGAAAATATAAATACTACTTGTTAACAAGAAACATGCATATACTATCTCAATTCAAACATGTGGTCTTTTTTTTTTCTTTTCGAGAGGAAGTTTCACTCTTGTCACCCAGGCTGGAGTGCAATGGAGTGATCTTGGATCACTGTAACCTCCACCTCCTGGGTTCAAAGGATTCTCCTGCCTCAGTCTCCCAAGTAGCTGGGACTACAGGCGCCCACCACCATACCCAGCTAATTTTTGTATTTTTAGTCGAGACGGGGTTTCACCATATTGGCCACGTGGGTCTCAAACTCCTGACCTTAGGTGATCCATTCACCTCAGCTTCCTAAAGTGCTAGGATTACAGGCGTGAGCCACCGTGCCTAGCCCAAAAATGTTTATAGCAATATTTTGAAAATATATTTGATAAAAACCTCACTGCAAGTTTACTTAAATTCAAACAAAACTTTTTAATGGTTGCACTAAGTAGTAACTTGCAAGCTGTTGGGATGGAATAATATTAATTTATTTCACAATTAATCCAGGCTAAAAAGATGTTGATATGACTGAGTTCCTGGTATCAAAGATGGCTAGGGAATTTGAAATTTTTTTCTCTTTCTTTTGAGATACTTCTTTGCCTTAAGTTTACTTCATTGTTTTATATTAAAAATGCCTCATTTAAAAATGTAATTTAGATTTTATAAAAGAAAATCCTCCTGGAAAAAAATATGAGGTAATAGAAATGAAAATATATTAATTGTTCAGGCATGGTGGCTCATGCCTGTAATCCCAGCACTTTGGGAGACTAAAGCAGGTGGACCACTTGAGGTCAGGAGTTTGGAACAGCCTGGTCAACATGGTAAAACCCCATCTTTACTAAAAGCACACACACAAAAATATAGCTGGACATGGCAGCAGACACCTGGAATCCTAGCTACTGAGGAGGCTCAGGCAGGAAAATCGCTTGAACCAGGGAGGCAGAGGTTGCAGTAAGCCGAGTTTGTGCCATTTCACTCCAGCCTGGATGACAGAGGGAGACTCCATCTCAAAGGAAAAAAAGGAAAATACATAAATCATAGTTGATTTATTTTTAAAGTTACCCCTCAAAATGTAGGAAATTTAGTTCTAAAGTTTTTATTTCTAGGAATTTCTCTTGGACAGTAAACAATTTGTACCATCTAGATCAAGGGTTCTCGAAGTTTCTTCATTCATGATGCCCTGAGGATCTCAGTAGACTTCCATGGTACCCATAGACCAAAATAAATGATCTAAGAATTTAAGCAGTTACATCACAGCAACCACCCAGCGTCCAGCATTGCAAAGACAGGACATATTGGAAGAAACGTAGCACAATCCGATATTGAAATAGTGAACTGCCTTAAACTAGTCATTTTCAGTGTCTAACGGATGTGGATTATTCCTATTTCCCCTGAAAATGTAAAATAGCTCATAACACCTGTATTAGTCTGTTATCACACCACTATGAAGAAATACCCAAAGCTGGGTAATTTTTAGAGGGAAGAGGTTTAATTGACACTCACAGTTCTGCATGGCTGCGGAGGCCTCAGGAAACTTACAGTCACGATGGAAGGGGAAGCTAACTTCACATGGCAGCAGGAGAAGGAAGTGCAGAGCAAAGTGGAAAAAGCCCCTTATAAAACCATCAGATCCTGTGAGAACTCACTATCATAAGAACAGCATGAGAGTAACCACCCCCATGACTCAGTTACCTCCCACTGGGTCCTTCCTATGACATATGGGGATTATGAGAACTACAACTCAAGATGAAATTTGGATGGGACACAGCCAAATCATATCGGCATACATGTGAACTTGCTGCCATATCCTGTAGACCCTATAACACACATCTGAATACAGAGGGCTCTGCATTTGTTCATTCACTGGCATTTTTGGTGGTCTCTTTTCATTGACTGCAGGAGAAGCCGTACAAGTGCTCAGAGTGCAGCAAGGCCTTCAGCCAGAAGCGAGGCCTGGATGAGCACAAGAGGACGCACACTGGAGAAAAGCCTTTTCAGTGTGATGTGAGTTGAATTCTTTTTTTTTTCTCCCATAGTGTCTTCCAATAACAGGAAGTAAGGGTGTGTATGTATGTATGTGTGTGTTTGTGTGTGTGTGTCTGTTGTAGTGCTGGTATGTGCCTATGCCTGTTAATGTCTCATGCTATTTATAGCTTTTTCTTTCATAATACATGTAACCACATTGTAATCATTTTATTCATCTTGGTTTGCTGGCAGCAAATAAATTCTGATTTTCTTTTAGACATGCTTGTATCCTGCTTTAATACCATTGAGTTGTTCTTCCAAGGTGAAAATGCATGATGATTTGAGGCAGCTCTTCACTGGTTAATTACAGTTAAACCAGAGATTTGACTGGTCATACATATTATTTACTTAGTTAAAGCTAAACATGTACCAAATTTCAAAATGCATATAAACTGCTTTGTCTTAAATAATGCTATTACTTAGTGTCTAGGTTTTCTGCTTATGACATTTGAATTGAAATGGAAATATTTGACATAGCATGCAGATTTTTGAGGGAATAAATACTATTGTTGTCAATAAAATTAATCTGAACATTGATCAATTTAGAGGAAATAAAGCCAGTTTCTCAACCAACAGCACCACTGTTCTTTTGTGCAGGACTGGCCATTGATAGAGAATGGACACAGATGTTAGGGAATCAATATAAGAAAAAGCATTAAAGCTGTATTTTGTGATATGGCACAGGGCAGAATCCTGTTTAAGCATTGAGGGAAATTCTAGAACTTAGTTCCATCAGCATGTCCCAGTGGATAAAGTATAGGGTAAGCAATCCGTATGAAGGGAAACTCACAAACACAAGATGTTTCCTTGTCCTTTCATGAAACTTCAGTGGTAAGGTTAAGGCAACAATGTACTCCCAGTGGGCATACTCATAAAAATACCTTTATTAACTGCACTTTTTAAAGAAAAGAAACACACATATAAAGGTCTATGCTGAATGGAGTTACAGCCCTAGTTCAGAGATTTCCGTTAGTTTAATTGTTGCTTTTATTGGAAGCATTTTCATAAAGGCAAAACCTATTTAGGTGGTTTAATTGCACTGCCACACAAATAACTGATATGGCCCCGAAATTAAATACTAACTGCATATGGACGTCTTTCTACCATCACATATAACCCATCTTTTTGTCTATGCTGAATGCTTTTGTTGAATATTTCCTTAGGTAAATTGAACCATCATATTACATTTTTTAAAACTATAATGTTACAAGATGAGTTTTTTCTATCTGCTTCTGTCCCATTTATTTCTAAAATGTGTTTAAAACTCCAAAGTCTTCATTTGCAGCCCATACTAATCTGTTGAGTAGAGATCCATATTTCTAAGTGCCTCCTAAACATTCCTGAAATGCAGCCTGCTCAGTAGAGAACTGTCTGTCTTTGCTCCAAAATCTTGTTCTCTTAACCATTGTGTATAGAAGTCACCCTTTCACATCCCACTTCAATCTGCCTCCCTCTTAAAGACCTCTCAGATTCATTAATTCCTCTTTGTTTTCATTTCCACTTGTAACACATGGCTCAGACCTTTGCTGTTTCGTATTACATCCAGTCTCTAGTATGTGTGTTCTCCACCCTGTCACCCTACCAAGGTGATGCATTTTTTAAAATTAAGGTGAAATTTATACAATATAAAATTAACCTTTTTAATATGAACAGTTTGGTGACATTAATATACTAACTGTGTTTTACAAGCAACACCTCTCTAACTCAAAAATATTTTCATCGCCACAAGATAAAACTCCATACCCAATAAATATTTACTCCTCATTCCCCTCATCCCTTAGCAGCTACCAATCTGCTTTCACTTACATAGACTTACCTATTCTAGATATTTTATATAAGTGAAATATACAATATGTGACCTTTCATGCCTGGCTTCTTTCATTGAGCATAATGTTCTTAAGGTTTATTCACATTGTCTCATGTATCAGTAGGTCATTCTTTTTTATGGCTGGATGATATTTCATTATATTTTTATATCACAATTTGTGTATCCATTTATCTGTTGATGGACACTTCTTTCTGCCTTATAACTACTGTGAACAGTGCTGTGGTGAACATGGGCATGTAAGTATTTGAGTACTTGTTTTTAATTATTTGGGATATATACCTAGGATGGAATTGCAGAGGCATATCGATTCTGTTTAACTTTTTGGGGAACTGACATACTGTTTTCCACAGGAGTGACACCATTTTATATTTCCACCAGCAATGCACGAGGATTCCAGTTTCTCCCCATTCTTGCCATCCTTATTTTGTATTTAATTATCCATCTTGGTGGGTGTAAGGTATCTGACCATGGTTTTGATTTACATTCCCCAACGGACTAATGATGTTGAGCATCTTTCCTTATGCTTCCTGATCATTTCTATATCTCCTTTGAAAAAATGTTTCTTCAAGTCCTTTGCCCACTTTAAAATAGTGTTGTCTTTTTGTTGTTGAGTTATAAGAGGTTTTAAATTTTGGATGTTAGGCTATTATCAGATATATGAAATGCAAACTTTTTCCCATTCTGTAGGTTTCCTTTTCACTTTTTTGACAATATCTTGGGATGCATAGGCCTTTTAATGTGGATGAAGTTCGCTTTATGCATCTTTTCTTCTCTATTTGATCATGCTTTTGGTGGTATATCCAAGAATCCATTGCCAAATCCAAGGTCATGAAGATTTGTCCTTCTGGTTTTTTTTGTTTGTTTGTTTTTTGTTTTGAGAGTCTTATACTTTTAGCTCTTATATTTATGTCTTTGATCCATTTTGATTTAATTTATATGGGATAAGGAAAGCGTCCATTCTCTGCATTTTTTTTTTTTTTAGTCTTTCAGTATTGAATATGGTGGGTTTTTCATAAATGCCCTTTTTTTTAATCAAGAGAGGATGTTGAAGTTTTTCGGATTCCTTTTCAGTGTCAGTTGAAATGATTATGGTTCTTTTCCCCTTTGTTGTGTTAGTATGATGTATTACTTTGATTACGCATTGGCCATGGTTTAGAATCCTTTTAAGATGCTCTGAGATTCACTTAGTATTTTGCTTGTTTGTTTGTTTCAGGATTTTTACATCTAGATTTATAAGAGATTTTGGTCTGTGGTTTTCTTTTTTCATAACATCTTTGTTTGACTTTGGTATTAAGATAATGCTACACTTACAGAACGAGTTGGGGAATGATTCCTCCTCTTCTGTCTTTTTGAAAGACTTAGAGAATAATTGGTGTTGATTATTCTTTAAATGTTTGGTAGAATTTATCACTGAAGCCACCTGATCCTGGTCTTTTCCTTATTGGAATGCTTTTCATTTGATTTAGCCTCTTAATTGGTCTTTTAATTTTTTCAATTTTTTTCATGAGTCAGTTTTGGTAATTGCTCTGTGTTTCTAGAAATTTGTCCATTTCATCATGGTTACTCAGTTTGTTGGCAAATTGAGTTACCATGATGAAATGGACACATATAGATAGATGGATGGATGGATAGATGATAGATAGAATAGATAGATAGATAGATAGATAGATAGATAGATAGATAGATAGATACATTGATACATAGGTACATAAATAATCAGTTTTTTACACTTTTGCACAAATGACACATCAGTCATCAATACTACTTTAACTTCTTAGATACAGTATTGCAAGCTGTGCAAACGGCCTAGCATACTTATAGTGATGACTGAAATCTTTCTTTCTCCTGCCCAGGTCTCTCTTTTGAACCCTAGGCAGATATTTTCAACTGCCTATAGGACATCTCTCTTGTACTCCAAACTGAAATCATGATCTCCCAGCTTTCTTAATCTCTCAACATGGTCATTTCAGTTTCCCATGTCTCTGAGTACTGTACCATCCCCAAATAACCCAAACCACATGTACGAGCCTCATGTTGGACACCTCTTTTTCCCTAAGCCATGAATGATAGCCACTATCCTAGTTAAGGTCCTATTATGGTAAAGACACAGAGATCCACAGTTTGCATATATTCTCTCTGATCTCTACTAAAACTTGGGAATATATAGGTGTTATCTGCATGTATATGAAGTAGTCAAGGTTCACTCAGGTTGAGTGACATGCCTACAGTTCACAGCAAGTCAGGATTCTAGAGTTCAAGGTTGCAGTGAACCAAGATTGTGCCACTGAACTTCAGCTTGGGTGAGAAAGTAAGACTCTGTATCAAAAAAGAACAAAAGATCCTAGGGTCCAAACCCAGGTCTTTCTAAGCAGTTTACCATGCAGCTTTCACTCAGACTCAGTAATTCCTGCCTTTGCTTCTATCTGTGTTTCAAACATACCACCATCTCTAAATTCTAATTGTCACCTTTATTTCTCTAATTCTCTCACACCCTACATCCAATCTAGTAACAATTCAGTTGGTTCTACATTAAAATAAGTTCAGGGTCTGAATACTTCTCATATCTCCACAGCTTCATCTCAGTCTCCTGGAATGTTGCTATACCTTCTTAGCTGCTCTCTCTCCTTCTGTCTTTGCTCCAACAGTCTCTCCTAAACTTGCCATGCAGAGTAATCTTTGTAGAACCCAAGTCAGATTATATATTCATAAAATGCATATAGTATTCATTTGCTCAAACCTTCCAATGACTGTGCATCTCATTTAGAGTGGAAAACAGTTTTATCATGATCTAAAAGACCCCACATAACCTGCAGCCCTCACCCTCCCACTCTGCTCTGTTTGACTTCATCAGCACCTTCTACCTGATTCTGGTCACAGGGCCTCCATACTGTTCTTTGGATACATTGGGCTGACCCAGCATCTACATCTTGGCCTTTGTATTTTCTGTTGCCTCTGCCTGGAACACCTTTCTCTTCAGGTGTCTTCATGGCCTGCTCATGTGCTTCTTTCACATCTCTGCTCAAATTACCTTCTCTCTTATCTCCATTCCTTCCTTACCTCTTATTTTATATTATTTGTCTTCATGGCACTTATATCCATCAAAAATTTGTTTGTTTATTTATTATAACCTCCATGACAACAAGATTTTGTC